AGATGTGAGAGTTGAAAGACCTATAAGGGGTTTCTCTGGTTTTATGATGTCTTATTCTTTTTTTCTTCCTCTGGTTGATGAAATGCCAGGGTGAAAGGGATAGCCAAATGGACTAAAGCACAAGTGCCACTCTAGTTATTCGGCAGAGTGCCCAGTAAAGGTCTACCACAATACCACCACGCATCCACTCGGGGATCAACAAGGGCTGACTAATTAAGAAGCTCTTGAAAATTCTTAAGCTCACTGCATCCCTTCAGGTCTCCAAGGAATGCTAAGTTTCCTCCCTGTCACGAGAGACATGAAATGAACTTTGGAGATGGAGGCTGCATGGCCCTCAGGGGCTGACCTGCAGGGTGCTGGACTTTGGGATATAGCAGAGAGAGCTTGGCACAACTTATTACTCCAGGCTGTAGAATCCTGGAAAAGAGCTACCATAGAGCCCATTCTTGGTGGACTGGAGGACCACCTTAGTGGAAAGGGGACAATCTGGGCCTCTGGCCTGCCATGTGCACAAGCATAATAATTGCTTTTGTTTAATGTGCAGATGGAATATTTGATCCATTCCAACCAGGCATTTGCATCTTGGTATGCTGTCTTAATTGCCAAAGTTTGTTTTAAGTCTTTTACTTCTGTGATCCTCTAGTAAAATGAATGTTTCCTTTAGCACCTATTTTTATTAGTTTTTAGACCAAAGAGAACTAAGCACCATTTTATATTTAATAATGCTTCTTGTATGACTTTTATACCAGATAAGCTAAATTTTACCTTTATATTAGTGTGTTATTAATGTTAAACTTAATTTTAATAAAACCTTGTAGACGTATTTATCAAATTTTTAATGTTTGAGCATAACGTAAGATTTTATAGACTCTTTTTAACCTTTCATAATTTTTGTTAAAGAGCAGGTTGGTGCTTTAAGAAAAACCTGTTGCATTTTTGCTTTAATGTCCAGTTCACAGAAAAACTGGATGATACCTTTTTAACTTTAGCTAATATGTTTATGCACATAATTTTCTTTACAATCAACGTTTTAAAACTTGCTTAAACTTTCAAAACAATAGTTTTTTTAACCTTTTAATGTAGGCAAAAATCCACATTCTTATGCCTCCTTATAATCCTTTTACCAAAGGTATATTTTTCTTTCCTTATACACCTTATGCACATAAACTCAGGAGGCCTTATTACTTTTAAATTATACAACATTTTTTGCATAACATTTTTTTCTTTCATGACTTTCGTAGACAATTCTTCAACATGTCTCAACTTTCTGACTTATTACAAACATTTCTTTAAGCAACCAGTTAATTTATTTCAGGACAAGAATTTACCATATAACACCCTTTTTACCTAAATTCTGTCTCCCCCCCTTTTTTCCATTTTTTTTTTTTTTTTAGAATAACCATTCTTTTCCAAAGTGAACTTCCTTTATGTCTGGGGACTAGACTGTCTAAGGCCACAAGATTAGAAATTACTGTAATACATGTTACACTGCTAACTTTTAGCAAACTTTACTTTTGTTGAAAACCTTGTAAGTTTGGGATTTCAATTATCCTTTGCTATTAATAAGACCTTGTTTAGTCTAAATTAATTTAGAATTGGTATAGATGGCCTTTTTTTTCTTCTGTTAGCAAAACAGCTGCGCTACAGATTGAATGCATCTGGGCCATCCGCAGGTTACTGGGTTAAGGATTTTTGATAGGAAGGACTCAGTGCTTTAGGGATACACCCTTGTTTACACTGACAACAAAGTGGTATTAGAGTGTTATAGGGTTACTGAGAATACCTTTAATTATTAATTATACATTTTAAATTTACCTTGACTTTTAAAGGAATAGGGTATACTGTTTTTTTTTTCTTAACTACTTGTATGTTTCTCTCTTTCTCTCTTTGACTTGCTGTCTCTCTCTCTCTCTTTGACTTTCCTTCTGCCTCTGTCTCTTCCTCTCTTTCTGCCTCTCTCTTTCTCTGTCTCTCTCTCGTTTCTTGACTCCTTTGTCTCTCTGTCTCTTCTTCTCTGTCTCTTCCTCTCTCTCTTTGCCTGTTTTTCTCTCTGTCTCTTTCCTCTCTTTCTCTCTGCTGGTCTTTCCTTCCCTCTGCCAGCCACTTATGCTGCTGTTCTCTTAACTACTGTAGGTGGGGAGGGGGTCTAAAACCAGCTGTAACTGTCTATGTACGGAAACTGGTCTGGGTGCCTTGGCTTACAGGTTACCTTGTGCCATACCTTTGAAACAACGGACCTGTCTAGGCTTCCTTCTGATGGCCAACCCACCTCTAATGCTGGCCAATCTATTTCACACACAGTTCTAAGTTTTCTTGGTGTCATAGTAACAATGTAATCTCCCTTAAATCCTTTCTTGAAATTTTCAACATAGTTCCTAGTGGGATGGGCTTACTTTGTGCCTGACCTATGCTTCTTCGAGACAAAACACCACACTCACACCACACGCACCCCACAAAACAACAGGTAAAGGGGGCACACACACACTTTTGCAGTTTACACCAAACCAAAATCAAAACCAATATCAGAGTATCCAGAAATCCAAGCCAGTTCAAAACCAAAACCAAAGTATCAAGCAATCCAAGTCAAGTCAAAAACAAAAAAAAAAGTGCCGGTACAGGCACACCATGGGAGATCAGGCCACACTTCCACTCATATGGAGTAGGCAAGTTCCCAAGACCAGTCCCGTCAAGCAATTCAAACCAAGTCAAAACCAAAACCAAAGCGCCGATAAAGGCACACCGTGAGTGATCAGGCCACGCTTCCACTCAAGTGGAGTGGGCAAGTTCCAAAGACTAATCTTACCAAGTTCTAGATGACTAGACTCCAAGTGCCAGTTCCTGGTGTTCAGCCGCTGCATTGATCCTTCACGGGGGCCTGCCACACACTGCTCTGGCGAGGCGTCCCACGGGGCAAATGCCTAATTGGGAGCGCTCTCAGGATCCTTGTCACTCCGGCTGGTTGGAGTCCCCCGCAGGGATGTTCCACATGGCATGCTAAAGCCACCTAAGGAGCTGCCTCGGCCATCCATTAATCACCTCGCTTTCCTGGTCAGGAACCAAGAACTGTAGCAGGAGGAGCCGTGGACAAAACCTCTTAGACACCGAGATAGTGAAGGGAGTGGCTTTAATCAGCTGGGAGCATCTGCAGGCTAACGTGTTAAAATCCAAGCTCATCAGGTGCTCAACTTCTGTCCCTTTTAAGGGCTCACAACTCTAAGGGGGTCCGCGTGAGAGGGTCGTGATCAGTTGAGCAAGCCAGGAGGTATGTGACGGGGCTGTGAGCACCGATGGTCAGAGTGAAACAGAACAGGAGGTTTCACAGTGTCTTTCCATACAATGTCTGGAATCTATAGATAACATCAGTTGCTAGTTCAGGGGTTGAATTTTAACTACCAGACTTAGGTCAGGCAGGCCCAGGTCTGGTTTCAGGTCTGATTCCTTGGTTTCAGGTCTGGTTCCTACGTGCCAGGCTACCCGCCTTTAGTTTCACTTCTCTTTCCTTTTCTGAATATAAAACAATATGAGAGGATCTCTCTCTTCCCTCAGTCATGAAAGAGAATAGATCAGTTTCCTAACATTCCTGCAAGGTCAAGTTGTGATGGTACGTACTTGAGGCAAAAGAACACTCTTTATTATTTGGGCCTTGGACCCATATTCTTTTTTTTTTTTTTGAGACAGAGTCTTACTTTGTGATCCAGGCCGGAGTGCAATGGCGCGATCTGGGCTCACTGCAGGCTCCGCTTCCTGGGTTCATGCCATTCTCCTGCCTCGGCCTCCTGAGTAGCTGGGACTACAGGCGCCTGCCACCACGCCCGGCTAATTTTTTTGTATTTTTAGTAGAGACGGGGTTTCACCGTGTTAGCCAGAATGGTCTTGATCTCCTGACCTCGTGATCTGCCCGCTTCGGCCTCCCAAAGTGCTGGGATTACAGGTGTGAGCCACCGCGCCTGACCTGGACCCGTATTCTTAATGCAATCTCCTGATGAATTAAATGAGGCAATATGTAAATGTAAGCACTTCTCTTACCTCTGCACTAGAAGCTAGCCAAATGGCCTTCTTGTTCCCTTTCCTTTGGTTTACACTCTTATCTGGGCCCTACCAGCCTAATGACAATAGAAGCATGGAAATGTAACCTTAAGGATAGAACTCTCTGTTTTATTTTTGTTTTTTGTTTTTGTTTGTTTTTTTGTTTCCCCCAAAGGCGAGGGCCGAATTGGCCTTGCTTTTCCTTTTTTCTTGGAGTAACCCTGTTTCTGCTAGGTCTTTCAGTGATGGTATGGTAGAGTTTAAGTTGGAGGGGTTGGAGAAAAAAATCCTCAGGTTTGTGTTATTTTACCAGCTACGTGGCAGGGAAGAGAGAGAAAGTGGTTTAGAGGAAAATAATCCCAAAACAGGACTTTTCCTTGAAAATCAGAGAGTTAGAAGTGAATTTTCATAATTGAGTAAAGAATGGGAAGGACTATGCAGATGTTTTCAAATAAATGATGATTGTTAGGCTGGGATTTTGGTCAGAAATGAAAATGTATTAAAGAATGGTCAGTATAAATGGAATTGGGTTGAAGAAGGAGAAGAGAACCATTTCTTATTAAGTACCTATTAATGATACCACAAATTAATCTTGTAAGAACTCAAGGAGGAAACAGTATTGCTGACATTTTAGACGGGGAAACTATCTCCAAAGCAGGCAGTTAATTGACCAGCCCAAGATTGTATAGTGGTAAATTGTTGGGGCAAAATGTGAAACTAGGTCTCTCGGATCCTCTAAAACATACACTGTTTCCATTTTGTCTCTGTGTCTTCAGAATTTCTATTTACCATATCTATTGCCAGAGTGCCATATTTGAGGTATGGTTAGATGAATATAATGTAAGTGAATATATAAGTTTAATAAACATTGATTCTGAGCTTCACTATGTCTCCTGTTCTGCACATTCTCCTCACCGGGATAAGATCAGAACTTGTTCGAATTCTAGAATTTGGTCTTATGTTTTATATTTTAGGACCAGTGACAAAAGAAGAAACTTGGCCAAACAAAAAGCTGAGGCTCAAAGGAGGCTCTATGGTCAAAATTCAATTAAAAGGCTCTTACCAGGCTCCTCAGACTGGGAACAGCAGAGACACCAGTTGGAGAGGCGGAAAGAAGAGTTGGTATGAAAGTTTTAAGAAAGTACCCACAATTTAAATTGCATAATTCACTTGTCAGGTTTTATTTGTAAAATTTTTCTCATTTCCAGAAAGAGAGACTCGCTCAAGTACGAAAGCAGATCTCACGAGAAGAACATGAAAATCGACATATGGGAAATTATAGGTAACTGTGCTGGTATTTTTGTATAGATTGAAAAAATGAAGTATCAAAGCAATGATCCTTCATGTTTTAATCTTGTGTGCTTATTTTAAGCATTTTTCTTTGATTCCAAGCAAGTACTTTTGCTTACTGTCTTTCAAGAAAGAAAGGTAGTCAGCAAGGAGATGGTTCAGCCTTGACAATGCTCCTGCTAGCCAGCCTCTGGGTGGTTGTAGGAGGTCCTTTTAACCCGCCGTTATCCTGTGACTGTATTTAGTTATAATGTGGTGTTTAAAAAATGTCAGAATTCAGGTCTGTTGGTATTCTTCCTGCCAATCTATAGTGGTTACTGTACTTTTTCAGGAACCAAACAAATAATGAAAATGTTTGAAGGAGTTAGGTATGGGACAGTGGAGAGAGATGTGGGCTGTGTTAAACTGGAACCGTTCCACAATATCACCCTTGACAGAAGCAAACCTCCCCACCCCACCCAGCTCATTGTGTTCTTGGAAAGACTGCCCACTTTCCAACTTTTGACATTGCCTGAGCAGGATAAAGGAATGTGTAAGGGCATTCTTGCACTCATGGTAAGATGTTCTTTCATGGCCTTAACACCATCAACAGTAGTGATGAGAACACATTCCTCCCACTCCACCTCTACCCACTTTACTAGAGAGGCAAATTCCATCACTACAAAAGAGATCATCAAAACCACTGCCTACATTTTTGTATACTTCGGTAACCACACTAAGTAAAAAACTCCTGTAGTATCCCTTATTAACTGAACACTCTCCTACAAAGTTCAGTATTTCTGCAATTTGCCCAATCACCATTCTTCTCCAACCATTTCGCCCTAACTAAACCCTTATACTGTGCCTTCTGGAACTGCATTGTTTAATGCTAATTCTCTAGATAAACTTTATTTGTGGATTTGTGCCACTATCAATCACTATAGACTGAAAACCTTCATAAAGTTGTAAAAATACTCTTGTGCAATCATTAAAGTTTTGAAAGAATTTCGTTAATTAGTGCCCAGTGAGCAAATAGTTACATTAGAAAGTTACTGAGTGAATCTATTAGGCCAATTATCAGTTTTCTATCTGGAGGTTTAATATTTAATATTATTTTGTACTAATCAGTATAGAAATGCTTATACCTGGCAATATGACTAGTATAGAATAGGTGGTCAAGGATTATCTGTGGAGTTGATGTTAACTATTGAGCTGTGACAGCTTCTTTTTAAAAATTTGGTTTATCTGATTTTGTTGTAGACGAATTTATCCTCCTGAAGATAAAGCACTACTTGAAAAGTATGAAAATTTGTTAGCTGTTGCCTTTCAGACCTTCCTTTCAGGAAGAGCAGCTTCATTCCAGCGAGAGTTGAATAATCCTTTGAAAAGGATGAAGGTAAGAGAATGAATGTTTATATAGAGAAAAAAGAATAAAGCTAAACAATATGTCTTTACACACAAGCCACCTTGGTCCAACATATAAAAATATCTTACTTTTAAGATATGCTTTCCCCAAGCTTTTTATTTTAACAGTTGGTAACATTTCATGATGAACCAACTTACTTCATAAATAAGATATCTACCAAGACAAATTGTAGAGTAGAGAATTGTGATATTATGTAGTAATATCAATATATTATAAAAATATATCTTATTACATAGATGGGTATCTGTAACTGGATAAAGAAACCCATGGAATTAACCTAGTGGTTTGTAGCATTCTTATTTTTTGGATTATAACAAACATTATATAGTACTTTTTCTTGATACTGCATAGATCTGGCATATGAGAGGAAGTAAATGAAACACACACACACACTAATCTGTACACCTTAGTAAAAGGTCCATCAGTTTTCTATTGTAGCATGACAGACCACTTCATTTATTTGCTCATTACTCTGCAATCTTGGCTGGACACAGTTGAGTGGTTCTTCTGCTTGTCTTTCCTTGGGTGAATCATACAGTAGCATATATCTGAATGCCCAACTGGGGCTAGAAATCCAGGGTAGCTTCACTCACATGCCTGGTGTGTCAGATAAGATAGCTGGAACATCTGGGAGCTGGCTGGTATCTCTTCCTCCCTACACAGTCTCTCAGCAGGGTAGTCAGACCTCTCAATATAGTAGCTCAGGATTCTAAAAGGGAGCATTTCAAGAAGATTCTTTTTATCCTAGTAGAAGCTCTCTAGTTTAGACCTGATCTCTGCCTACATATGTCCAGACATGACAGATGACCCCAAAGAAGAAAATGGCCACTCATCTCTGCTCACCTAGGAAGAGCTTGTCTCTCTTTGGAATTTAGTTTCTTTACATTACTTTTTACCTACAGCTTTCTGGTGTTTTAGAAAATATGATTGTTTAGTTTATCTGGCCTTTTCTGGCTGTTATGATGAATGTATCATCTGTTATATTTCTCCTAAACAGAAGCAGAACTCCTTGAGTTTCTTTTTGGCTATATTGTACTGCTATCCATGGAATTCATTGTAAGATTATTATTTAATAAAAAATGTATAAGAAGAGTATTTTGGGATTTCAATAGCTAAATTTCCTTAGATTGGGGCAAAGAGTAACTTATTTTACACATTTCTACTGTACAGTGAGATTTCTAGTTTCTTCAAAAACCTTTTCTAGCATCCTTTCTTAAATAACTCAATGATACAGTTGATTATACCTCTTTCAGTGTACCTATTATAGTTGTATTGTTCTGACTTGCCTAATATCCACCGGGGTATATGCTTTTATAAAATTTCCTTTTGATTCAGAATATGACTCTAGAAGAACACAAGAAAGGTGTTAGGGCACTTGTGACTTTTTGCCACCTTTGATGACTATAGAATTAAAACTTTTATAAAGTTCTAAAAATACGTTTGTGCAATCATTGAAATTTTGAAAGGTTTTCATTAAATAGTGCCCAGTCAGCAAATACTCACGTTAGAATGTTTCTAAGTGAAACTATTAGTCCAATTATCAGTTTTCTGTCTGGAGGTTTAATATTATTTTACACTAATCTGTATAGAAATGATTCATAAACTTGAAATCTGGAAATTAGCTTGAACTTTCCAGAAATTTTAGTGTCCAATGAACTAGTTATTGAAGTATTATACTCTTAAGATTTTAATACTGTACTGTTTATGATAATTAATACAGAATAGATTTTGGCTATATATTAATTGTAATGCCAGATTTTAGTGAAAGTTTCAAGAGAATTTGCCATGACCCTTTAATATTTCTCCTTTGTTCTGAGCTGTCTTCACTAAATAATTTTGGGAATCCTTGCTCTGCATTATTTTGTGGAGATTAATCAACTTGGAAAAATTCTAGAGTCCATTAGTGATTGTAATTTTAATTAGAATATTTTTTGAAGGAGGAAGATATTTTGGATCTTCTGGAACAATGTGAAATTGATGATGAAAAGTTGATGGGAAAAACTACCAAGACTCGAGGACCAAAGGTGCAGTATATCTCTACCTTCCTTAGTTATCAAAGTAGATGCTACTAGCCCTTGATGCTTCTCACTATAAGAATGACCCGTGCTGCTTTAAAGGAACCATAAGGACTGTGTGCCCAGTGCAGGTAGAGTTTGGAAGATGATGGTATCTTACACTCAGGAGTTTTGTTTTGTTTTATTAGTTTCATTTGTCATTTTGGTTATTTTCCTGATGTCAGTGAAAATACCATGAGTCAGGGCCAAAAGGGACCCAGAGCTCGTACTCTTATTCTAAACTAAATATTAAGTTTGCCTGATACCTCTAGACAGGTAATTATCAGATAAATGGGTAGCATTATAAATAAGGCAAATCATGAAATCTAGAGACCCTAATTAGAAGCCCCATCTTTTGCTGACCTAGCAACACTGATTTTGTTTTAGTTAAAATAGGTGTAATTCCTAGAAATAAGTAGAAAACTGTCATGTAGATGACATCTACATGTTCTCCCTTTTTTTTTGATACAGAATCTCACTCTCACCCAGGTTAAAGTCCAGTGGTGTGTTCATACCTCACTGTAGCCTCACACTCCTGGGCTCAAGTGATCCTCTTGCCTCAGCTTCCTGAGTAGCTGGGACAACAGGCACATGCTACCATGCCTGGCTAATTTAAAAAAATTTCTTCTTCTTCTTCTTCTTTTTTTTTTTTTAAGGAGATGGTGTCTCGCTGTGTTGCCAAGGTGGGTCTTGAACCCCTGGTTTCAGGCAGTCCTCCTGCCTTGGCCTACCAAAGTGCTGGGGTTATAGGCATGAGCCACTGCGTCCAGTACTGTTCTTCTAATATATGTCAAAGTTCTTGTTAGTAGAGTAGGAAAGAGTTGAATTAGAAAAATCTTGGATTTTTTTTCATTCCATTCCATTTGTATTTCAGAATTACTGTGCTATCTCTTTGTCCTTAGACGCTTCGTCTTCTGTCATATTTTCATGATTTTCCATGCTTCTGAAATGTCTTCCTACTAAAAAAAAAAGTCATTGACTTGTTGTTTGATTAGAGTCTCCTTCCTATTTCAGCTGAACCACTGTTGCTTGTGTGAAACCTTCCCTCATTTCCCCAGTTAAGCTTAGACCTTACCTTCTCTCTTTCTCCTGCTGTTCCATAAATAACACTTTTGTGGAGCAGTTGTGACAAGTAATTATTTGCATGTTTGCCTCAGTACGAGGCTGCACGTTCCTTGAGGGCAGCAAGTAGATTTTCATCTTTGCATCTCTAGAACCTAGCCAGTGTCCGACACACAGTAAGTTCTCAAAATCCATTAGTTCAGTTTGTTAAATATATCCATAAGAACCTCATTGGCTAGTAGAAGAGCAGACAGGTAATTAAAAAATCAGGGAGTAGTGTGGGAAGTACTACAGCAGCATAGAGAAGAAAGGGATTGGTAGCATGTGGACGGCTTCAGAAAGGTAGTGCTGTTAGAACTGGATCTTGAAAAATTAGTAGTACTCTAAGCATTAAGAGAGATGGAAGAGGCAGGTCACGGTGGCTCATGCCTGTAATCCCAGTACTTTGGAAGGCCAAGGTGGGCGGATCACGAGGTCAAGAGATTGAGACAATCCTGGCCAACATGGTGAAACCCCATCTCTGCTAAAAATACAAAAATCAGCTGGGCGTGGTGGCGTGTGCGGGAGAATCGCTTGAACCCAGGAGGTGGAGGTTGCAGTGAGCCGAGATTGTGCCACTGCCCTGTGGCCTGGCGACAGAGCGAGACTCTGTCTCACACACAAAAAAAGAGGTGGAAGAACATTTAGGGTATATAGGACATTAAAGGCAAAGCTATGGAGTTATGATACTGTATAGGATGTTGTAGAAACATGAAAAGTTTGGTATGACTCAAGTGGAAGGTTCTTGGATAGTGAAATGATATGGGTGAGCCTGTTTAAGAGATAAGAGATTAGCTGGTGGAGATCTTGGATGTCAGAGACTGTTCCGAATTATGTGCTCCATATTGAGGCGTTGTAGAATATGTCATTGATACCCCTTTTAGAAGAAGTATATTTTAGAATATCTGTAAAAGTAAATACTTGCATGAGTCATGGCATTACTTTGGGAAACACTGGGAAATTTCTAAGCTTTGTATATTAATTATTGCTATTCAGCAAACCAGACATGAGATATCCTGGAGGCACAATGTTTCTGGCAGAATGGCAAATGCAGAAGCCTTGAGACAGCTTTATATTGTCTTATATTTTCCTGTGTTTCATTTATATAAGGCTTGTCATCCAAACAAAAATATAACTTCTTGGGAGGAAGAATTCACTTTGTCTGATTTGTTCAGTCCCTTTCATTCTAGGCAAGTAGTGGGAACTAACAATGTATTTGTTGAAATGAACTAGATATTTCCTGTAGTTGTTAAAGCCAGCTATATTTCAAAGTTGTTGAAGTCTGGATAATCAGTCTGAAGTAGAAGCATTTTTATAACTTTTAATTTTATGTTGTTTACCACGGGTCCAAAGTGAGCCAAACTTCAAAGCAGCTGTTCCTTTTTAGAGGGATGATATAACACACAAAACATTGATTTCCGGTGTCTTTACTGGTAGAAGTATAATTGGAGATAATCAAAGTTAAATAAAACTGGTACTTGTAGTAGGAAAAATAATAACTTTTCACTTACTTGAGAATCTAAGAAACATTAGCTACTTGAATAATATCACATAAAGTGTTAGGTTGGTGCAAAAGTAATTGCAGTAGAATATTAGCAATGTTCTTTTTATTAAGCTGGGTGATAGGCATGTGCGTGTTTATTCTTTATACATTTTTATATTTTTTATAGATGGCCTACTTCATAATAAAATTGGACATAAAAAATAAGTACTATGGTTGTGCCATAACTCAATGCCAGTTTACAAATTCCATTTTGTAGTTAAGACACTATTTAGAGTTTATGTTGCTGTGACTGCTGGTTAATTATTGCTTGAACAGTGTATTGGTCAAAAAGTCCCAAGTGCATATAAGACACAAAGGCTCAGCTGTACGTTTCCCCTTGTGATTCTTTATAGGGTCGAATAACTCATTATGTAGTCAAGCTCTTTAAGAACACTTAAAGCTGTTTGCTACATGAAGGAAGGCACCACTAGCAAGCCTGATTGTGCCACTGTTTCTTCTGGGTATGCTAAACTTCTGAGGAAACAACCTTCCTCTAGAATTCATATTCCCCAAGATTGTCAAAATGTTTGATGATTGTGTTACTGTTAAATGTTTTTATGCATATCTCTTTGAACATTGTCAGTACTTAGTAAATATTAGACCATCAGAAAGAGCACATACTTTTAAACACAAGTTGGTACCTTAGTGAATTAAACTACTTTCCTGCTTTGGTTATTTTTCATCCTTTGCAAAGGCTGTAAATTTAAGAAGATCATGCATTTTGGCTCACTCTGTATTCCAGGCACTTCATGAAATGCTGTTTCTCTATTTTTATTCTACACTGTTACACTAGAGGGTATACCTTCTTTCAGTGAAATCCCATGCTATCCAAGGATTTCATTATAGTGTATGCTAACATCAAAACATTTTTGTTTGATTTAACAGAGAGCAAGCAACTAGTATACAGCTGAAGGAGCCTCTCCCATCAGGAATAGGAGGCATATGGTGTGTGTAATAAATAGTCTCTTTGAATGACTGAGTTATGAAACTGTCTTGTTCTTGGTTATGCACATTCTTTCTGATGTGAAACTGTCCCATGTCCCTTTCCTTCCATTCCTGCAGCTGGCATCATTGGAAACACATTGATTGGGAGGACTAGAAACGAGTGATTCTAATAGGGATAGTGACACATAATAGCATGGCATTTTCAGTCTTTACAGATTTTCCCTTCTATATTAGAGGAATTTATCCTTCCTCCGTGGAAGTTTACCCCTACTGATCTTCATATTATATTATTAATTTTTAAAATGTAGCATGGGCAATGAAAAATTATGTCACTCTATTATGGCCAGAAGCTATGTGCCAGAGTTAGGAATACTCTGAGAAAAGACATCAGTTGTTCTTGAGCAGTTTGGAAGGTGGACAGTTAACTAAAAATTCTATTTTTATAAATATCCACAGCCAGTCAGTTATGTGAGGGATACCTAACTTCTTGCTGCACATTATCTGAGTGGATAGGCTCACAGAAAATGGTTTAGTATTCTTATTCTCTTTATCCTTCTTGCCCCTCTTTCTCCTCCCACCCCCTCACACACACACAGACACACACCACACACATACACAGATGCACTTGTGTGTGCACATGCATACACATTTATAGAGTAACTCTGAATGTTAATGATATGACAAAGGTATATCTCTGAGTCTTGATGAGTAATCTCTTATGGAATGAAGAAAAGCTGATTTTATTTCTGATTTTTATATTTTTATCTCAAATATTTTCCCTTTATTTTGTTATTCTTTGTTTATAGATACTCTGGTCCTTTAATCCAGTCATGTGGGAATAACATATTCCTCATCATGATTATATCATTTAAGAAAGAATATTTTGCAGAAACAATAATCAATACATAGCACTGTAGGCTAAGCAGCATGGCAGCAATAGTATTTGGGGGGATTCTCAACCTTCAGTAAAAAGCAGCAAGCATAGGGGGAAATTTAAAATAGTAACTAATCATATCAGTAAACCTTTTTTAAGAATTCTAACAAAATAACACATATCCGTCTTTTTAGCCTCTGTGTTCTATGCCTGAGAGTACTGAGATAATGAAAAGACCGAAGTACTACAGCAGTGACAGCAGTTATGATAGTAGCAGCAGCTCTTCAGAATCTGATGAAAATGAAAAAGAAGAGTACCAAAATAAGAAAAGAGAAAAGCAAGTTACATATAATCTTAAACCCTCCAACCACTACAAATTTATTCAACAACCCAGTAAGTTAATTTCTTCTAATTTAGATGTTGTATAAAGAATTATGGAACTGAAATTATTAAACTCAATAAAAGGTCCTTGGGGCCCCTGTTGTGTGTGAGAAGACCTGGATTCCATCCCCCTTCCTTCCCTAACCAGACTCGGGCACATCCCTTAATCCCTTTCAAGATCTGCAAATAGAAAATGAAAGGGCTGGATTAAGGATCTGTTCTTCTGTATTTCATCATTTTTTTTAGGTGCCAGATTTTTGCTTGGGTTTTGTAAAATGTGCCTCATGGCTGATCTGGTGATTACGTGTCTCTTAAGCCAATATATTCTCTTCTCATTCAATTTCTGCCCCTCTACTCCTTTCACCCACTTTGTTTTATGCTATCACTTATTATATATATTTTTAAAAGTATGTATCTCCTTAGGCATTTGACTTGAATGTATCTGTAAGTTACATAATTGTGAAATAGTTGAAGTTTTGTTCCCTCCCGTTTTCATCACCGGTGAGTACTTAAGTCAGGGCTTATGATGCATAGGAACTACTTAGGAGAGCAGCCAACCACTGCTCCATCTCCTTCCTTTTCTGCTTCCTTTTCTCTCTATCTGTATTTTTTTTACATTCTCTTTCTCTTCCTTTGTCTCTTCTTTCATTTATTCTTCAATTCCAAATGTGCAATATTGTGTCTGTGATTTTTCTTTCATCCCCAAATGTCCAGTGTGGGATTGCTGTTTGTCTAGATTCAGTTGGAAAACCCCTTCCTGATGCTGCCGCTAGTCCAGGACTTTTCTGAACCCTTGTCTGTCATATCTCTGTTTGCCTTGTGCTCCACTGTCCTAGGGTTCCGCTGAAGGAACCAGCTCAATAATGCAGTGAACACAATTGTGAGCCCTTTTTACCCTCAGCAATGTATTTAATATGTTAACTTCCCTGATAATGTGGATATTTTAAAACTGGCCTTAAACACTTATGGCAAAATACATGAGGAATACAGAACCAATAGATGAAGCTTTTACAGGAATGGTCTTTGTTTATATGTTATTCTCTAAAGAAACATGCTACTACTTCATATCTTTCAGAGTTTATGTCTTTGGAGGGGAATTAATGTAGTGTGTTCCATTTCATTTATTTATTTACTCATTCATTTAAGAAATGTTTATTGAGCACCTGTTATACAGTTTGTAAGCTATTAATATTTGCTTCCTTTTTTCTTAAGGATTCCTTAAATACTTTCAGTGTGTCTTTGTGTAACTATGGCTCTGTGTTGGTTTCAGAAGCTGACGTTTTTATGCCTAAATTTGGCCAGTTTTTAATTCCCTTTCCTGTTAGCTGATGTGTACCTCCCTAATGGCATGAACTGATGGGAGATGAGGACAGGTTGGAGAAAAACTTGCTAACATTCTTATAGCTCTGAGATTGTTCTTTGTTCTCAGACCAATAGGTTAACAAATTGAGATCAGACAATAGTGCACTAAAATATACAGATTTTAAAAATGTTTTTAAGTGTGAACTTTCATTTGAAATCTAGCCTAATTTAGTTACATGTCTTTTTTATTAGTTATGTTTTATTTTTATATTCATGTGGAATTGTAACAAGCCTTTTACTTTGTGTTATCTTCTCTCTTTAATCTTACACCTAGGAACATTTCAGCCACAAATCCTACTTGAGTTTTGTCTTTAGAGTGATGCTGATGATCAAGGACACAATCCAGATTATATGTAACACTTTCTCTTATATATAGTTTGAAAAATTCTAACTTATTTCAGCTTCAAAGGGATATGCAAGTTACAATGATTTTTTTTGTGAATCTACCCAAACATCATTGGCATGTCTAGCTACTTAGTTATTCTGTCTGAATTTCTAGCATATGTAGGCAAAAGAAAAAAAAAAAGGAATCTGTGATGATTCAAGACAAAGGATATTTTCTTTCTGCCCAGTGATCAGGTTGTATACAACCAAACCATTACCATAACCCCTCAAAGGGAGTAGGACTACAGTACAGTTACTAGCACATGCCTTGGGTATTTTCTTAGTATAAGTTTGCTCTTGGTGCACATTAAATATGTGCAGTTCTTTGTTTAAAAAAAAAAAGGTTGACTGGTGGTATGTTCCTCACATAGCCCTTCTGCCCTTCTCTAGAAATATAGAGGCAGTGTCATTTTGAAAAGCGGTGACAGTTTTCAGGTTCAGAAGGAAGTTAATCTTTGGAACAAAGAGAATTAAAAAAAAATCTTTTATAGCTTTAATAAGTATACTTCTCCAAAATTTAATTTAGAAGTATATCCCTAAATATAAGGCTTATGTCGATTCCTTTTATGAAGGTTTAGTTTTTTTTTCAACAGCTAATGAAGAGAAATATTTGGGTATTCAACCTGGTTTCATGTGAATTTTACTAAATTATTTAATTAATGAAGATATATTCCCCAAGCAGAGAAAGAATACAGAACAGAGGATATATAGACCATAGGAACTGAAAAACAATGAAAATATTGATAGTATTGAGTGATGATCTATTGCCCTGTGTCAGGAGTCAAAATTTATCTGGAACAGTTGGTTTTCTTTATTAGATGTTCCTAATATGCATTGGGGAAGATATTTTATGGTTTCTCTTAGATATTTTTTCTGATAACAAACCTATAGATCCATATATTTTTTTCTTCACTTAAGTCTTTTTCTATTGGAATTTAACCTACTTTAAAAAATTATTTACTCTTGTAAATTAGAATGCTCTCTGTTCAGTACTACTCTTTATAATAACCAATTCTATATTTAAATTCCATTAGGATAATCTGAATTTTGTTTTATTACTGTTTTTTTCCGTCATGGGTTCTAAATTCTGTAACTTAACCTATTTAGCCTGTCCACTTTCTATACTCCTTTCCAGCCCTCCCTATGAATCTTGCTGTAAAATATTCTATCTCTAACATATACACAGATTCTTATAAGTGGCCAGTGAAATCCCAAGGGATAGTGGATAGCATCATGGAATTATAGAAACAGGGAAGACACTGGAATTAGATAGGGTCAGGATTGAAACCCGATCTTGACCACTTTATTGCTGTATAACCTTGAAAAAGTTCTTTCTCTAAGCCTCTGAGCAATGGAGAGCCCTACTTCAGAGGGTTTCCATGAGGACTAAGATAAAAGTGTAGCACTTAGCACAATTCCTGGCTTATAGAAGGTGCTCCATAAATGTTAATTTTCCTTTCTTCTGGTTCTTTTATCTCATGTTTTGAGGATATAATGTTGAAGGATTGTTGATAGTATTATTCCCAGAAGAGCCATTTTTTTATACATTAGAGGGGTTCTTCTGCAACAAGTTCGCTGTTGTTGAAAAATGTATTCCAAACTCATATTCCCATGATGATGCCTATGCTTTGACATTTATTGCCACTTCACTACTAGCTGCTATAATCTTTAGTTTATATAGACTTAATATAGTAAAAAACTTGTATTAATACTGCTACTGTAGTATCCCTCTTCTCCATCACTGATAGGCTCCATAAGGCGTTCAGTCAGCTGCCCTCGGTCCATCTCTGCTCAGTCGCCTTCCAGTGGGGACACCCGCCCATTTTCTGCTCAACAAGTGATATCTGTGTCACGGCCAACTTCTGCGTCTCGGTCACATTCCTTAAACCGTGCCTCCTCCTACATGAGGCATCTGCCTCACAGTAATGATGCCTGCTCTACAAACTCTCAAGTGGTAGGTCATCTGTTTTGCTCTTTCAAGTTTATAGGGAGCTCTGTACTCAGGCAAAGGGGATCAGATGAGAGGAGGACAGACTGAACCTTAGATCCTTTCCATAATTCAACTCATGACCTCTTGAAATTTGGATTATTCACCTACCTTAGCCTACAATTTAGTATGACTCTTAAAAGGTGCAGACTTCACTCTATCACAGAACTCAAAGATGAACACTGAGAATAGCATTATTTTATTTTCTGTTTGCTAATGTAGTAGGATAATATTACTGAAAATTACCTGAGTAAATGCATGGTTTTGCAGTGTATTATGCAGTCTCTCTTTAAATTTGAGGAAGTTTGGAAAATTTTACTTAATGGGACAGTTGATTCATAGGTTAAAAAATGATAAATTATCCTTGGAGCACTTAAGTACAATGTTATTTATAATGTGTTCTGTATGTTAAATTAACATTGAGTATTCCCTTGTTAGCACGAATCCCAGAGATTTGGTATTGAGAAAATAGTGAATTTAGTTTGTAAGAAGGCTACTTCTAGATGCTCAGATAGCTCCAACTACCTTCATGTAGACTAAGGATTTATTTAATTTGTTTATTTAATATGGATCGTGTTTCCAAAGGGAAGTCAGGAAATAGAAGTGAATGAATTTCACTTGGTAACAATGAATTTTTTTTCTAATCAAGAAAAATTGCCTAAGGTATATGTAGCAAATGAAACTGACCAGGAAGTCCTTTTTAAGTATTTATATTTTTATTTTAGTACTTTTAGCTAAATAAGTATAACCTTGTGGAAGTATGAAAGACACTCTTGGGATTCGTATCCATTTAATCCAAAGAATTCACAAGTGTAAAAGAAAATTTTCTTCCTTTTTCATTGTTATTGTTTTCAGTTAAAAGTGCATCATTTTTACCTAGAAATATCTTTCAGATTATACTGGCACAATGAAATAAGACCCCCTCCAAATATCTGTATTCTTTCAAATTTAAGAGTGAGTCTTTGCGGCAACTGAAAACAAAAGAACAAGAAGATGATCTAACAAGTCAGACCTTATTTGTTCTCAAGGACATGAAGATCCGGTTTCCAGGAAAGTCAGATGCAGAATCAGAACTTCTGATAGAAGATGTGAGTATCTGATGTGTCTAAAATGCCAAGGAGCTGGTACCTTTTTATTTTTTTAAAAATATTAAAATTTATTTCCTGAAGGCATTATGCTCAATGACATAGTAAATTTAATTGATGTCTTTTCAACCTCTACTAGCTTTAGAAAATACAGGGGTTTATTTTAATTGTTACAATTCATGAACAGTGAGATCAGATTATAATCAGCAGTGCAAAATATCTTTTAGTATATAGTGCTATTTTAATAAGTCTTCATCAAGTGAGAATAATTAGTGTTAAATAATTATTGTTCTTAATGATTAAGCAAATATCATGTTAAACTTGCCTCTATAAAGATTTAGAAAGAACTAATATGGAATGGGGTATGATGAAAAATGTGGGGCTGTGGCATAAAATGTCAAGAATATTTGAATGTGACACCTCGAATGTCACATTTTTGGGGTCAGAATTTTGAAATGACTTATGCGGAGCTGTGTGTTTTTCTTGTTACACACACATGTGCACCACCCAGTGGAACATTCTAAAATGCCAGAGGGCCCTAAAATTCACATTAAAATCAGTGACTTACTCCTAATTTAGAAAGAGGGTCCACGTTATTTCAGATAATTTTGGTGAAAGAGCATTTCTTCACGCAAGGTTACATTTTTTCATTCAAACATCCTTTTCATTCTTGGATAATTATTTAGTAGTAGAACCTTGTTTTTTTGGTGGGGGCACATATATTTTATAAATATATTAAAAATATATTTTGGAGGCCGGGCGCGGTGGCTCAAGCCTGTAATCCCAGCACTTTGGGAGGCCGAGACGGGCGGATCACGAGGTCAGGAGATCGAGACCATCCTGATATATATTATATATAGTAGTATATATATTTTTTTTTTTTTTTTTTTTTTTTTGAGACGGAGTCTTGCTCTGTAGCCCGGCTGGAGTGGCAAGTGGCCGGATCT